AAAGCTATATTTAGCGTAAATTGTTTCGCGACGCGATATTAATTGAAAATTTATATGTATCTTTATATAAAGAATATATAGAATATTTTATCAATCTTTCTTTAAGTATGAATTATTTAAAAAGAATAATGAATATTTTTTTGAGACATAATATGTTGGAACATCAAAAATACTCCACGCGAATAATTATTAATTACGTTTAAAAGAACCGTGTAGGATTGAACAAGTGCCAGAGATGCCAAAAGCAAAGCGTGAAATGTACGACGATACCCGTTTGTCACAATCATGTAAAGTACGAATATATATAAAATAAATACATATATATGCATATACATATATATGCATAATATTATCTTTATCTGCAATTCGTGGCTGTAGCATCACAACGTAAATTTATTTATCAACAATGTCGAAAAATAGTTTTTTCTTCACATCATCTATAATTAATTGTGGTGTACCACGTCCACTTTCGACGATACGATTTTATCGGCGAGACAGGGGTCTCGAAAATGGACGTAATATGTAGTTCCCGCAGCTCGAAAATGGACGTTGGTGTCGCTAGTGTACGGGAAATTAGAAGCATTACAGGAAAAAGGCCAGGATGGCCGCTCTCAGGTTTCTCTCTGCTAGTATATTGTTGGATTTAAAGAGATTATTGAACAAGTGGAGTATAATCAAAATTTGTTGGAATTTTGTTTTACTGACAGTTTAAGAAAATTTTCATGCTGAATAAGAAAATATTCTGGCAGTTTTTGAAAATAGCTTGTAAGTTCAATACGCTAAGATAAAAAAATGTGATAAAAATGCTAAATTTTCCTTATTCTTTTTTCTAACCTGTAAATAATACTGTTGTAACTCTTATAAATAAATTATCATATATTTTTTTAAATTTATGATTTAATTATATTACAAAATAAACAACTTATTGTTACTCGATTTATAATCCTATTATAGGTTTCAATCTCTCTCTCTCTCCGAGCTAAAACTGCTAAGAACATAAACAATGGGGAAGCACGAAGTAGGCACACCAAAGTACATCGCTAATAAAATCAAGGCAAAAGGATTACAGAAGTTAAGGTGGTATTGTCAAATGTGTCAAAAACAATGTCGGGATGAGAATGGATTCAAGTGTCACACGATGTCAGAGTCACATCATCGACAGTTATTGCTGTTCGCAGAAAATGCGCATCGATATATGGATCAATTCTCACGGGAATTTTCACAGGGATATCTGAATCTATTGAAGAGACAATTTGGCACCAGACGAGTACCAGCGAATCGAGTATACCAAGAGTACATTGCTGACAGAGGACATATACATATGAATGCGACTCAGTGGCTCACTTTGACTGCATTTGTAAAATGGCTTGGACGTACTGGACAGTGCGTTGTTGACGAAACTGAAAAAGGTTTGTACATTGTTCACATTTATTTATAATTGTTGATAATTACAAATATGTTTATCGATAATATTTTAGATTTTGTCTAAAAATGTATTTTATATTATTTTTTTTTCAGGCTGGTATATAACATATATTGATAGAGATCCTGAGACACTTGCAGCACAGGAAAGAAAAGCAAAGAAGGAAAAAATGGACAAAGACGACGAGGAACGACTGATGGATTTTATTGACAAGCAAATAGAAAAAGCAAAACACGATACAAAAGATGAGGAGGGTGAGACATCTAAAACACCATTAATGCGTCCTGAGAATGATACACCCTTGGTCCTCGACATAAAACTAAAACCAAAACCAAAATTGCTTCCCGTTCTTGAAATAAAGCAGGAGAAGATAAAAAGTGAAGATAGCCAGAGTAAATCAGTTTCAAGTAAATTAATCGATGAGAAAAACGAAAAACTCAAAAGATCCAATGATGACAATAAGACAGAATCTATCAAGAAGTTAAAAAGTAATGATGATCCTTCTGCAACTGAAGGTTGGCTTAGGGAAGGTTTAATGGTTAAAGTAACCACGAAGAGTTTAGGTGACAAATATTACAAAGCTAAAGGCATTGTTCAATCAATTGGAACAGACGGTTTCGTTGGTAAAGTAAAACTGAAGACACCAGAAGAAGTTAATGGACATATTATACGACTGGATCAAGAATATTTAGAGACAGTAATTCCTGCGATAGGTAAAGAAGTTCTGATTCTTTGGGGAAAACATAAAGATATGAGAGCAATAGTGAAAAAATTACATATAGAACACTATAGCATAGACGTTGAACTCGAAAAAGATAAGCAAATTTTGAAGAAACTGCCATATGAACAAGTATGCAAGTATATAGATTGAGAAGCAATTGTGTGGAAAAAAATACTAGAAAAAAGATATTATATTTTAGCATTGTTCAGTGATAGCTTGTATTACATTCGTTGTATTACTTCGAAGAGCACCTGTGTACAAATTTAACAGCTTAATAAGAAATTTCAAGCTTGTATATAAAGCATATATCATAAAATAATATATTACTTTACATAATGTAATATAAATTTTACATGCAATTCCTGGGAAACAATTTTCTGTGAAACGTCCATTTAAGGCAAACTTTTTATTAAATATTATCACACAATTACATTTTATTACATATCAGTGTTTGTATGGTGCAAATATATATGTAAAATTAGGAGAATTAGAAATCTCATCGTCCACACAAATAAAATGCTATAATTTAAAAATCAAAGTCTGAAATTATTGTTTTTTAAATTTGATAAGTATCAATCTCTTTTCTTAAATTAAGAAATGTAAAAAATAAAACAATCTTATTTAAGAAATAAGTGTATATGTATATAAATGTATATTACTCTTTGTAAGGATACATCAGAATTTTTAATGTCTTATATTTTTTTTAACTAAATATTCATTTTGTACGTGTATGTATATCTTTTATATTATTATACATTTTAAATAAAACAAAAAAAATAATAGTTTAACTATTATTTATTTCATATGTATCCAATTACAATATTTCTCTTCCGAATGCTTTTATATATTGCAAGTATATGTGTAGTAAATTTATTCTCTACACATATACATACAATATAAGAATATAAATAAAAATTTATATTTTTATCTAAAAAAGAAATTTAAGGGAATTAAAATAAATATTTACTGTTAGTACAATAGATAGAATTCATATACAGTATACAATACAAATTATCTCTATTTAAAAAATTGAAATAAAAATAAAAGTGATGGTTTTAATTTTGTACATATGTATATTATTTTATGAAAAATATATTTACATATTGATATATTAATGTTAGCTCGATCTTGTTTACAATTACATGATTGATGTAAAAAGAGAACAGTATCATTGACAAATATCACTGTGTGATATATACACAGAGTGCAATAAATAGTACATAGATATAAAAAAAAAATACACATAGTTCTACTCGGTTTTGCGAATCATTCGCTCACGTACGCTTTGCACTGGGAAACATTCTTTATCAAGTATTACAATACGGTCATTGATGTTAAAAAATGTGTCTCCTCGACTAAATACAGGAACAACAGTACCTTCGCCAAAAGTTTCCATTTGTGTTTTGCCTAATATTCTGTTTACAAACACAGCCTTGTATATTTTATCTGTAGAACTATAATAAATTCGGAACGGAATTGTTTTGCTGCCCACTATGAGTATGATCGATACAGTAAAAATACCAAGTATGAACAATAGCCTTTCCAAATTAGAAAGAGACCTTAATGTTAATTCGCCATCGGGTAATGTATTCGTTATTCTTTCCTGTACCGGTGGTTTGTAGATGAAATATCCCAGAGTAAACAGACTAACAGCAAGACACGTCCAACCAAAATGATATGTTAAAATAATAAATCTACACATAGTTAATTGTTCCCTATATACAAGTCGGTAACCATTGCTTATATTGTCCTTAAGTTTAAATTTTTGCTCTGCCCAGGCATTTGTCTTATTAGTAAGATGTTCATAACTTTTCACAAGGGTGTTTTTATTAATAGGACCAGAAATTATATTCTTATGAAAAACAGGTCGCCATAAAATGGAAGTCTTATTCAGAAGATAAGCCATTTTTGTGACTTACAAATAATCCTGTAACAAGTGTAAGAACATGTATGAATAATCACCAAAGGAGAAATGACTGCCTAGACTTATTAAACTGTATTAGATTAATTATATCATATTAAATTTATTAAATAACCTAATATATATGTAATTATTACATTTCACTTAAAATATATTGTACTAATTTCTTTTAAAAGTATGCTTATATATCAATATGTAATAAAATATATATATATATATATATATATACAGGGCTGGCATCAAAATACCTTTATTTAAAACAATACAAGCATATTTTATATTTTTTATTTTAGCGGATCACATAAAAGTATTACGTATTTTGTATTTAAAATCGAAAGATTGAAAGCTTTTTGTATCTTGTAATTCAAATAATAAGGTTGATTATCAATGTTACTATTTGAAATACAAAATACAAAATATAATTGTCTTACCAATACTGTTTTTCAAATAAAAGTATTTCAAATATATGCCAGCCCTGTATATGTACTACTTTACAGCAAATATATAGTAAGAAGCTGTTTTTGAAGCTATAAGAACAAAATAATAACGTAAAAAAAATACAAATATATACTACAATGCTGCAATATATATATATATATATATATATACTTAAAAATACTACAATTAAACAATAAATTGAACTCAATTACGTTAACTCAATCATAACAAATACAATTTAATTGTTAATTGGGGTCCTTACTCATTCGGTAAATATTCTTCGATATAAAATATTCTTTGCGATAAAATTTTTAATATGCTTCAAAGCTTTTGAAGCATTTAATTATTGATAAAATCACACCACGTGAAACATTATAAACACGCTTCATCAAAACTAGGTTACGTATACACAGCTACGTAACTCATATGTACGACAATCCACGACGATCCACGTTTTGTGCACCACGCAATCGTCAATTTAACTAAAAGTTGGTAAAAGAGACTCTTAACATGTCATTATTCAATTGTGATGACTCCGACTCCGATGAAGAATTGAAGATAAACAAGGAATATGCCAATATCTATGATAATTTCCGTCAAAAGGAAGAATTACATAAATGTGAGTGAACCTAACCTTTAACAGCGCAAAAAATTTTTTATTGGATAATCCCTAATTGGAACGTAGTACTATGTCTTTTAAAAATATGTTTTTTTTCAACTGTTTAACTTTTTCAATATTTCTAAGCCATATACATACATATATATATATACAATGTAGGAGTCAAATTCATATGTCAATTAGAAGTCGAGTATCTCTTTTACAGAAACATCCCAAGATGCAAAAATTTCTCTATCCAAAAATTATATTAAAATGACATGACTATAATTGATTGATACACATAAAACGTTCAGAATATTTTATTGAATTAAAAAAACCTTATACCTTATTACATCTAACGATTAATGTTAAGTTATTACATTAAATTATTTTATATAGTGCTTTAAGTATACATATAATACATATTGTAATTTTTTTCCCATTTTTAATCATCTTATAGTGAAGGCAAGGTATGGAGAAGATGCAACATTTTCAGAGGACGAGTCCAGTGATAGTTCATCGGAAGATGAGAATGTATGTTAATTTCTAGTTTGTTTAACAAATTATTAATTACTTTTATCATAAATATTTTCTTAACTTATTAGATTTTGTATTTTATCTCCTTTTCATCTCATAAAAATCTAGCTTTATGTACAATAATACTGATTTAAAAAAATACATAATAATAGAAATTAATTCTTTTTAGATTCAGGATCCAGAATTTGATAAACAGTTTCTCATAACATTGGCTTGTTTGAAATCTGAAGATCCGAGCATGTATGATGAAAAAGTTTTTAATGATATTGACAAACCTGGAACATCGGAAAGTACTGAAGCAAAAGAAATAGAAAAGAAAAAGTTAAAGAAAGAGAAATCTATTTCTTTACGCGATTATGAACGTAAGATAATATTAGAGAGAGATGGACGGTTTAGTAGCAGCGAAGATGAAGATGATGCAAAACAGAGAGCTAAATCTAAAACGTCCACTTATGTACAGGAACAAAATGAATTAAGAGATAGTTTTAAACGTGCTCTAAAAGATGAAGATGAAGATGAGGATAATGACCTCTTAACAATAAAACAAAAGACAGAAGATGAAAAACACGAAGTACTTTCAATGATTACATTTTTACATGTGTAGGTATATATTATTGTGTATAATGCTATTATTGTTTTATTTAGGAAGAAAAATCATATAAGGAGTGGTTGAAAGGTCAAGATGTGAACATAGATCTCAAGGACAAAGAAGTTCTTGAACCATTACGCAATTTTTGGTTGGATCCCAATTTAGATTCAAATGAGAAATTTTTAAGAGATTATATTTTAAATAATAAATATATGGATAAAGAATCATATGGTGTTGACTTAGAGTATAACCAAGTTATTCATGATAGCGATGATAACTTGTCAGAAGATGAAAAGACTATTGAAAAGCAAGAGGCGTTTGAACGTAAATACAATTTTAGATATGAAGAACCTGATCAAGAATATATCAAAAGGTACGAGTTCTTATTTAATATAAGTATAAATGTTAATTATTAAATATGCTAAAAAATTTTTTTTATTCGTGAATTTTATGTTTTACTAAGGTATCCACGAACTATGGAAAACTCAATGCGGAAAAAAGATACGCGCAGAACTCAAAAAAGAGCAGAAGTTAAGCAAAGAAAAGAGCAAGAGAAACAACAAAAGAGAGAAGAACTAAAACAATTGAAGGCGTTGAAGAGAAAAGAAATAGAAGACAAAATAGAAAAATTGAAAGAAATCACAGGTAATATAATTTTAATTTTAAAATCTACAAGGTAAAATTTATGTTAAATTATTCAACATTATGTTATGTCTATTGCAGGAAATGATGATATGCGCTTTGATAATGTTGATTTTGATTCCGATTTTGATTCAAATGAACATGACAAAAAGATGAAAGAGATTTTTAATGACGAATATTATGCTGGTGGTGAAGATGAGATGCAGAAACCAGAATTCCCAGAGATTGATGAAGAATTGGATATTGAGAAGTGGGACTTTTATGATCCAAATACAGATAAAATTGACATAAAAACTGAACAATACGAAGAACCTCATTGTGAAGATCCAGATTTTAATGTACTTATTATAACTTATCTATTATATGATTGTGTTTTACTAATCTATTTTATATATATGGGAACTTTACTAGTCATCTGATTATAGATGGATGCAGATTACGATGAATCCCGAGATTTACAGTCCGAAGTCATAGAAAATACAAAAAAGAGAAAACGAAGGAAACGCTCTAAATTTGCCGAACTTATAGCAAAGGAGAAACCGAAATTTGATCCAAAACAGTTTCCTTCATATGCAGATTATTTTGATCAATATTACTCGTTGGATTATGAGGACATGATTGGCGATTTGCCTTGTAGATTTAAATATCGAAAAGTAGTGCCAAACAACTATGGATTAAGTGTTGAAGAAGTAAGTGTTAATTGTGTAAAATTTATTAATATATTAAAACCAATAACTCTAACGAAATCATTTCTAATAACATAATAATTTGTATAATTTATAATTTAATAAATATATATACATTCTCTTATTTCAAGATTTTAATGGCTGATGATAAAGAGTTAAATAAGTGGTGTTCTTTGAGACAAGCTCTTAAATATAAATCAGAACACGTAGAAAATAATGAGATTCAAATATATAAAGAAAAATCAATGAATGAAGCAAATAAGCGAAAAATTCTTAAGAGTTTATATACGTAAGTATTACACGAGGATTAAGAATATATGATATATTTTATACATATTATGAATTACATATTACTTTCTTGTATATTTAGCGAACCAGAAAAGAAAGAAGAAGAAAAAGGCGAAAATGTTACTGAACAAACTGAAACTAATAATAAGAAACGTAGGCGAAAGAAGAGAGCTAAAACCAGTAATCCTAACGCAGAGTTTACAAATGCTGATATTGTTTCTAGAGAAAAAATCATGTATATAACAGAGAACGATGTACAGAATAATTTACATAATGATAGTAAGGATGAAAGTGGAAAGGAGGAAAAAAATGAGGATACACAAGAGAAAAATGTAATAAATAAGAATAAAAAGCAGAAACGAAAGAACAACTTAAAAGTCAACAGCGATGTTCCGATTTCTAAGAAAATAAAAATACATAACACAACGACGGAAGATTCTCAAATAAAAATGGACATTAATAACATAGAGAATAATAACAAAAATAGAGACGTCGTAGAGATTAATAACAAAATTAAAACAGAAAATAACAAAAAGGTAGCTATTGACAAATTTACAGGTAAGAGGAAAAACAGGAATAGGAGTTCTCAGTTTAACCAAATGAATACTAGAAAATGCAAATCAAATTGTAATGATCCAACGATATCTTTGAATGCAGAAAGATTGAAGACATATGGAATAAATGCTAAGAAATTGAAAAATAAATTAAAATATGGTAATAAAAGATTGTAAATATGGATTTTCTGTATTTGCATATTCATAAACATAGCAAATATAAAATCATATCTATATGATTTTAAATTCTAGCATTTATTTATTAGCATTTACTAATATTTTTCTATAGATATAATGTATGTACATATATATGTATATATACGATATAAATAAAAAAATAGAAAAATGTATCGATCTATATAGGCATGACAAGTTTAATATAAAAGCATACGTACGCGCGCGCGCACACGCACACGCACACAGAGGTGAATAAGAGACAACAGTCAGCGACTGCGCGCACCCTCCAGTAGGAGTGGTTTCGAGTTAGGGCGGATCCGCTTTCGGATGATAAACGACGTTTGCGGATTATTAGGATCGTACGCTGCTGTTTGTGTTTGCCTATATCCAACAATTTCCATTTCTAATCCAGCCCGTATGCTTCGCTCGAGAGAAAACAGCCCATTGATCGGCGCGTTACGGATTTAATTTACCAAGTTCTTCGCGTACATATTTTTTTTCCTTTCAATCTGTTAAAATTTTAATGAAAATAATTAACAAATTTTAATCAAAACAATTTTAACTTTTTAATAGTTATTAATCAAATTAATTTTTAAGCAATATATGCGATCATGCTTTTGGACAATTAAATCAGGAATTTAAGAGTTTTTTAAGGAAGATTATA